GTAATCTATCTCTAATCCCTGTAGTTTCTTATTGTGTGTCTTTCTTTCACCACCACTTTCTCTTTCTAAAATTTTCTTTTGGTATATTTTTCTGTCCTACTTCCACCTAGCCTCCACTTTCCTAAAATTTGGGTATTCGAGTCTTTATTGTTGTTATTGATATTAGTCCCAAATAGCTGCTATAGTGAAATGTGGATTTTGTATCCGGTTTGCACCAAACCTGCTTAAAATATTAAGGGTTATTAGTGTTACTATTATTATTAGTGCAGATATGCTATTGTGTTAAATCAGCACAACACTTCACATTCAGCTACTGAGCTATATTTGAGCTGACAGGTGAATTTAGTTGTATGTCGATGAGATTTGCGTCATGTGTAATCATGTAAGGCATTTCTAGTTGTGTGAACTCTATTCTAATGCTACTCTGCTCCGGTATTATACTTCAATCTAACTAGGATGCACTAGGGACATGGAAAATTATGCAAGCTGAAGAATTAGATTATACTGGCTAATTTAATCAGTTTATTATTGTGTGAATGAAGAGGCAAGGTCTCTAACAAACTGGTAAGGCAATGGCTTTGGCCACCTCACCTTCCACTCGGTAATCAATTCCATAGGCGAGAGCGTGCACCTCGGAGCATTGTTTGTGTATTTAAGCCCTGTGCATTCATAAGCCTTAATATCTCTGTGTGCATGCCTTTATCCACCCACTCATCCATCTACGCACATATCAATGTACTCAGCTAGCACTGGTACCTTCCTCAGTGCATAGTTAGAGCAGCGCTCCATCGGCAGTACAGCAGACGGTGGAGGAAACAGGTGTTTCGGCAAATGCACATGGGATGAGCAGTCGAGACTAAGAAGCAACATATTAGGTCCCGCTCAGTATATTCTGAAGGCAATTGGTGTAGTGTAGAGGGCATCTCGTAGACAATGCTATCTATTAACGTGGAAATTGCACGACTAACTTAGGACCTCTTCAACCAAATACCCCACGTCAATAAATCAGAAACAAAGGTAAAATGACCTATCATCATCGTTAAGTAAGCATGGGTTACAATTGTTTGAGTAATCTCTTGGTCGGATGCAGAGTCGCCATCCAGGTCACACTCAATTCTTTTGGAGAGCAGGGCTTAACGGACCCACTTTAACAGCTCACACTCCTTGATAAGGTTTATTGATGGTTGCTGATGCACAGCATTCTCCAATTTATACTGCATTAGCTTGCATTGTGCTGCCCAGATCAAGTCATTCTGATCATAGATAATCTGATGATTTGGCAAAGATTATCTACGACGAAGAAGTTTGCTTATTGACCCCTAATAAATAAATTAAATCCACACTATTAGTGAAGATTTCGCACAATCAAAAAGGAACCCAAACCATTTAAAAGGTGTTCGGAATATCTAAGCCTTGAAGGCATAAACTGTCGTTCCGCCATTGCCACAGCATCGGTCAGGCACTCAAACTTTCAGCTTTGCATGCAGAAATATCAGTCACCAGAATAGTGGTAAACGTTACTTCTTCTATAATGTCGCTTGCATTGCAGCTGTTAAACACAGACTCCACTACCACCAAAGAGAATAGACGGGCGTTGGATGGGTTAGCGTGAGAGGTACTGGACCACCGAATTAAAAGTGCACCACAACACCGAATGCGCACACTAAGTGCTGGTTTATGTAAAGATGAAGATGGCCAAATATGGTTGTTGATGAGCTAAAGGCAGGTGCCAGATACCCGTACAAGCATGTGATTAGTTGGCGTCGACCGACCGACTGAACACATAGCATCAGTTGGCCATTCGAGTGTGGTTCATGGCAAGCCTTCCTATGCGCTCGTGCTGCTGATTCTGAGGTCAAGGATTTACTCTAATTCTACTGTCAAATCGACGCTTTAAGTGGTAGATCCACATTTCCATTTTCTTTCAACATTTCTGTTAGTGTTGGCGCACACAAATGAGAATGCTGCCAGGTATTTCAAGTCAAAAAATCTAGTTGTTAAACTAGCCACTGGGAAGGCTCGAAACTGTAAAATGCACAATTTGCTTCAGTCAATGCAAATTTTGCATATTAATTGCAGTGTTGAATGATTACCACAAAGCAGAGTGGCGTTGTACGATCACGGTTAGAACGGAAACTAAGTCAATTACACCCGAGTTCGTGGTGAAGTTACTCTAGAGCAGTCGAAAATTATTTGCCCTAATCTATCAATCTGTGCTAATTCAATGACCAGACAGGCAATTGATACATTTTATTCTAGTCAGAAATATGAGCTAATTATGCATTTTTACTGAGGTACGCATGGTCTCACTTGCTTCCTTCTTACCTATTTTACATGAGACAGCTTGTTGAATGATCATACGAGGAACAGTTTGCCTACATCTAACGTATATCGTATACCCACCTCCAGCATCTCACAGGTGCACATTACTTTCTGCGGGGCGATTGACACCCCGACAGCCACAGCAGATAAGTCCAACTCGGACTGGATGTCCTTTAGCATGCGTAGAGAGGGCATGGAATGAAAGCATAGTTGCAAAATTAGTAAAGACAGTTGTAGTCTATTTGCAAATGGCAATTTGTTGAATTTCAGGTGGTGTTATTGCAATAGTGAGTAGTATTAGCGAGTTAGAAGTATGAGGAGAAAAATGCCCTGTTTTAGGCTCAACACATCAAGGCTGATCTTGGGGAACGTAATTTTGATCGTGATGATATGTTACTTGGTTAGCTAGCTGTGAATGAAGAAGGACGATTAAAGTAGGCAGAAAGGAGGTAGTTTTGTGGATGAAACTAAAAATGAGGTTTTGCAGTAACAAGAACTAGAATGGAAGCCCTCCATCTACTCTCATCGTTACGTCAGTTCCACGCATTCAATATGGCAGTTGTTGCTTCTGTCTTGATTGTGGCCTAAAATTCATGTTGGTCTGAATGCACGTTCTGTCCGTGGCATGAAATAGGAGCTACTCGAAATATCATACAGACTTTTTGTTCAAAGGTTGGCGGCCTTCGCCCGGTCGTCAGTATGACGGATAAAGCACATAATGGTCGTCCTTTTACATTGGTTTCACTTAGCACTACCATTCCTGGCTGTGGACAAAGTCTGCCCCGAAATCGTAATCCAACTAAGTTGTGTGAAAGAATACTCTGCATGCTTGCATATGGAAGAGTCGGGAGGCTATTACTATGACCAATGGTCAGTGTCTTATTTGGAAGTACAACCTCCTGATGCCGAATGGGTCACACTTTTATTTAAATAAGCAACTTATGTATTTATTTATTTTGCATCTTTTTTCATCACCGCTATTTCTCTTTCCCAAATTTTCAATGCTTTATTTTCCTTTCCTACTTTCACCTAGCCCCCCCTTTCCTATAATTTAGGTATTCGAATCTTTATTGTTAAACAGTCGCGGTAAAAATACTGAAGACTGGATTTTAAGGAAAGTAGTTCCGTCTCCTTGGAGAATGTAATCTTGATCGTGATATTATGTTAACTGGTCAGTTGGTTGTAGCTAGAGAGGACGATTGGTGAAGGTAGGAAAAGAGGTAGCTTTTTGGATGAGGCTAAAGATGAGGTTTACCGTAACACTTACGATTGCATTATTTAGCAATCAGTGACACTTCCTTAACATCCAAAAGCACCTCATCTTGACAGCTAGACAGCACAATTGCAAGCAAGAAAGCGCTTGTGTTTCTCAAATTTGCAAAATCAGTGCAAATGTTGGTCAAATGTCTATGGCACCCAGTACACCAAATCCGCCGCACATCTGCCATAGGTGCATGTCCAATCTGTGCAGCCTGTCATGCAGCACACATTGGTCTGTGTTTGGGCACACATTGCACAAACGACAAATAGGCAACCTGCATTACAATTTCAGAGTCACTTGCTTGCACACAGACCTGACGAAAAGAATGATGGCAAAGTACTATTCGTTTGGGCTGGATTTGCTTTTGACAGATCCAGCATATGAAAGAGCGCGGATTTTCCGCGGTTATCTCTTTAAACCTCACCCCCACTCCAATTTTAAACTCGCTAATTCTGCTACTGCCCCTTGCAAGGAGAGCAGACAGAGTTACAAATCAGCAATGTAGTTAATATGGAGGCTTGCCCATTCACGGCTCCGACTCATGATAGTAGACAGGCTCGTAAGCAAAGGTGTGTCCGGGTGGCAGACTGTAGTGGTCATTCATCTTACTCAATACAATGGAGGAGGAAAACCAAGTTTACTGCTTCTTGCAAATGAATGGATTCCCTGACCACCGAATCTACTGCTGTGATAGGAAAATGTAAATTCAGCTCTTTTGAACTTGGGTGACTATTCCATGCTGCAGACAAAACCATAGCAACATCTAAAATCTAAGCCGCTCCTTTTATGGAGTGTACTTTATGACACCAGATTCAACATTAGCCACGCCTCCGATCCTCTGGTCGTTCCATGTCAATTTTTGACAGCCTGATGAAAATAAGTGAGTGTGCCTTAACTCATGTGCCTGCAGCAACGTTTGTCAATGGCGTTCTTTCAAGTTTGGGGCCATTGAGGGAGAGATACATGCCAAACAATTTTTAAATGCTAATATACAAGCGCAAAATTTTTTAGCTGATACAAGTTTTATGACCAGATTTTCGGCGATTAAATCAGTAGCACGGCGTCAAGACCCAAGTAATTGACTTTGATAAATATGTGAGACCCGACATTGCAGTAATCGAATATATTTCCGGAAGGAAAATGAGACACAATGCTCGAATAGGCTATGCAATGTTGACATGGCATGTAGTGATTTTGCACTGTACTGATTTTACTGGCTTAATCTGAATGTCAGGCCACTAGAGGAGGTAGAGTAGCAAAGCCGTCATTTGATCCTTTTTGAACTTGGAAGTTCAGCATGTAATTAACGCAATGGTATGTAAATTACTGAAGCAAAACTGCAGAAGAATAACTACGAATTGTAAAGGAGGGGATGCAATCCGGAAGAAGCAATTAAGCAGAGGTTTTTAGCACAATTTGAGTGCATCTTTCGTAAACATTACTGTAAGCAATGCTCATATTGCGTTTTCAAAGCAGGCATTTTTAAGGAACATTCTCCAAAATGAGTTTGCACACAGAATCAGAGGTTTTTGCGTCATCAAAAAATAAAAATTAAAACAAACTGGAAGCCGGACCCTTCCACACTTTATATTAAATCATGTCGATTCCTGATAATCATGCTCGTGATGTAAAAAATAAAAGGAAAGTTAGATATATTAATTTACCAAATTTCTAAACTGCCATGGCTATGTTCAAGGCTGATACCCAGGCAAACGCCACGGCTGCCATTGACATCTCCGCGAGCTATTGAATACATGATGTAGCTAAGTGTCTCGGTGGCTTAGTGAAAACACACCACGGGCAATGGCGAAGTTGCTGGAGGACAGAAACGAATTCGCAAACAGCAGCTCGGTTCTTAAGCCTATTTTATGTCTTTGTGACGGACACGACCAACAGCCTGGAATCCTGTTCAGTGGTTTTACGTCAATACACAAATCTTCCTAGCAAACCATGGAATGCAGTGGTCATCGTTGTTTGGAGTAAAGGTAGCAACAATATTTGCCATCGTAGGCAACGGTATCCTCAGTTTGTCAATCGCATGAAATGTAAGTCAAAGGTAGAATGCCTTCCCCATGTCATCAAGCACCGTAATTTTCTCGCCGTTTAACTAACATCCATCTGCCTCCTATTTCACAAAAAATATTTATTAAGCAGGATGCGAATGCTTCAAAGTCGTGGGTAGAGTATAGATGATTGATCCATTTTCCAATGCACTTCAAGACCCGCAGTGCGCAATGAGTTCAATCATAGCGTAACAATTTCATCCACAATGCAGCCATGAGCTGAGTGTCACTAGATTAAAAACAAGAGCTTCTGCGGTATACAACCTTGGAGGAGGATGGAGGATTGTGGTGTAGAAGGAATAGGATGCGAATGAAAGACTAGGAGAGTATGTAAATAATGATCAAAAAACAGGTGAAAGATTCCCCAAGTTGGGGGCAGTGCAGCGTTTTATGCGGAAGGTCCCACTTTAATGCCCACTCTTACCTAAAGCTTGACTTGCACTAGGGTAAATTCTCGTTGATCATTGAGTGATAGCACAATTTTGTTTCTCCATATTTTTGGCACGTTGAGTGCCTTTGCTTAGATGGCGACTATCAGTACACTTAAAGTCTATTTGCATTACGTCTCATGTGATATTTGTAAATTGGGCGATTTTACTCCACAAAATCTTACTTCTCTCTCACTTCTTCTCTTTTTTCTCCCAATTTCTAGGATCCTGCTACCCCACTTACCGCACCTATGCTGCCTGTCCACTGCCCTCTTTTTCAAGTTCCAATGCTTTCGTTCCTGCTCGTTATGCTTTATCATCGCTTCCTCCAACTTTTCTTCAACTATTGTTCCACTTTCTTCCAATTTATTTTAAATTCCATTATCTGAGTATTTGTTGCGTTCCTATATACAGCCTTACTCTCCCTCTTCTTCCTATTTTCATTCATCTTGCAACCCATACACACTTGCTTTTTATATCTCTATCGTCGCATCCTCGTCCACTTCTCTACTATTCCTTCCTTCATCGCTTCTGCGACTTCTTTTCAGCACCTGACAAAATTGCGTCCACAGTAAAAACACATACACGAACACAATACAAGCACAATAGTGGAGGTTGCGATTGACTTCTCAGTTTTGAACTACATTAAGCAATGGCAAGTTGTTAATCGCCACCATCATCTAACGCTGGTTCACTTCCATAGTCAAGTTGGCAAAAACATTTCCAGATATTACGTCATTCTGCGACTGAAATGCATCCAAATTTCGTGCAGCATACGTGTTGAGAATCTTCTGCTTAAACTTGACGATTTAAGTAAGATTTGGCTAGTAAAGTGGACAAGTCTGAAAAAGCCGTGTAACCTAGATGATACATCGTAGTATGAGACTTCAAGATTTGAGAGTAGCGCATAACACAGTAAAGGGTGGGCGATGCGCAATCAAGATGCACTTAGATCCACCCCACAAGTTCCCACATGTTGCAACGAATACAATTGCAGTAAACCACAGTTCTCGTCCTTGGCAGAGATCCAGAAGAATAAGTTGGACTACAATATCGACACGCCACACTTCGCTTGCCCAACATCCTCGAACAAGATGGTACGCACTGCAACAACTTGAGAATACATCATTGAATGAATATCTCACATTCACTGTTACCGGCAATAAGTTCTTGTTCTTGCTCACCACGATCTCTAAAAAGTGATTTCAAAGATGAGCGCTGTGTGATTTGACCTGCTTCGCATGACATTTGCTCATTGTACAGTAGGTGGCTCTTATCCCAGCAGAGATCACTGGATGAAAAATGACGCAGACTACACCGGTCTCTGGCTGTTTAGTATGAATTTCCACATTCAGTGAAGCTGCGTTACACCTTTGCAAATAATGAAAATAAATTCGTTCCACAAAGTTACCAGCTCCCTTTACATGCAACCACGGTATATTAGACAATTTTATGTCCTCTGGGGGTGGTTGGTTTGGTAAAAAGGGGCAGTACCTACAAGAGTTTTCCAGCGCATAACTGTTTTTACACTTTAAAGAAGGGGCCCTTTAAATCGCTAGCAACGCGATCTCACATCCAAATCTGCTTATCAGGAAGAGTATGTGAAGTATTTCAAAGTGCTTTTATACCAGCTACCTGTGTACAACTAGCTCATACTGTTTGCGCATAATCCCACTAATTGCAGTTCTGGTTCATGAATTTGCACTCATCGTGACAAACTGTCATTCAAATACTAATAGCCAAAAGTATATGCATCATCTAATCTGCTGTGATCGCATTTGGTTGATCTGTGGTGACTGTTCTAGGCGATATAAATGCAGAGGAAAGAATGAGTAGACATCAATGGAGGCGCAAAATAGTGGCTGGAGTTCAAGGTAAAATCCACGCCAATAATGAGTACAGTTAAGGTTAACTCTATGTCTTCAGCTCCACAGTGTTCACTTTTACAATTTTCATGTTACTTTCCTCTAGTCTTCTACTTTGTCTAAGCAGAACACGAGGGACGGGACTGATGGAAATGGATAATAAAGAGGGATGGGGAAGGGGCTGCTCTTGAAATTGGGCCTGATGACCCATACGAATTATCAGAGAATGGAAATAGGCACTGTCATATGGGTGATGTGGAGCAGTCAGAACTGGATTGTAGACTGAGGTATTGGGATTTTTACGCATCTTTCCGTGGAACACGGTGACACATGGGGTGCACATCATTTAAGGAATATGGTAGAAGGAGGGAGTTTCGACTGAATGTCTTGCATTTGACTGCAACTTTACCCACCTCAGCGGAGAATGCAGAGGAGTGGGATTGACTGACTGAATGGCCATTGTATTGTGATCTTTGGTCTGTGGTTCAGAGACGCTGATGATGATGTTGATGCTGGGTCTGAATGGCTACGATGAGAACTGGTGGCGAGAGCACTTGTGTCAGAGAACTGAGTTTGGTACGGTAAAAACGTGCATTGAATCAGATCAGCGTTTCATACGGTAATTAGTATGGGTTGGCACCATCTGTGAGATCTGATTTGTAACTCTTTAACAGTAGGCGAGCATCACCATTCCATGATTTCTTCACATTTACACGCCGCATAGTGTATGCACAGGATAATGTCAGACAGACTGTCGGAAAGACAGGCAGATATCATTTTTCGGTACATAATACCATAGGATCCTGCTGCCGCGCTTAAGGTCAAGATTTATTCTATGAGGCCAGTAGAGTTGCAATTATGTTTTTATTAGCTGAGTTAGTCATTTAATCTCTTTTATCCATTCTAACCTCTGAATTTACTTATTTAAAAGTCTGCAGTCGGTGAGAGCTAGTTGGTTGGTCCGTCAGCCGATGCAGACTAAATACTTGCAAGATCGATGATCTAGTGGCTGTATTTCGCCCACTAGTGACCATATTTGTCCATTCTTATCTCTATATAGGTAAATCCTTATGTATACACTTTTAGTCTTTCAGTAGATCTTGGCTATAGCAGCCCAATGTCCCTCACCCGTATTCGTCAAACATTTGTATTTTCGTGTTGATGGTGGTGATGGAGTTTGAGCCCAATAGCTACGATGTAATCGACGTGATTTATGAAGCATGAGTGAAAGCATCCAAAACAACTTCAAAGACTAACCTGCATCAGTTGACCAAAGACAGAGTGTGGCTTGTGGCCAACTCTCGTGTGTGCTCATGCTGCTGCTACTAGGTCTGTAAGCCTGGCTGTGTGCGTGTGCGCTTTTTGCCGCTACTTTGATGAGGTAAACATAAGGCCTTGTCTTTGGTATTCCACTTCCACTGTATGATGGCAATAAAGCATTCTCCTGCACTTCCATGCTTTTAGATTGACACCTTTATCCTTCCGATGCTCACTTAGCAATGTTCGCGTTTGGTGTCGAGCGACGGTTCAAGAGCCGAGACTGGGTGTGATCAAGTATTTAATAGTAACGAGGTCATGACATGCATTTGATGGTCCACAGTTCCCGAATAGACTACAGTTACCTTTCTAAATTTGCAACCACACTTTCTTCTCCACTCAAATTGGAAGGCGTTGGCTCTGAATCGGACCTATATACTGTAGTCGTCGAGGTGTCAATCGTCTCACAGAAAGTGATGGTCTACTTCAAACAGTGGATGTAGGCACAAAAGCCATACCACAAACCATTGCCTCAAAATTGACCGAAACACATGAAAAGGGTCTTTTAATATATGAAGACTGCTTCTGTAATATACTTTAAAGACATACCTACCGATATTATGTTTTGCACCGTCTTGAATTTTAATAATTATTATTTTGCATTTTTAGTAAAACAAACAAGTTAACTCTTGAGTCATGAATAAGTGAACATTGTAAAGTTCTTTTAATCACTACTACCACACTCAGGATATCAGAAGTAGAATTTTTGCATTTTGGGGCCATAATAAACGAGATAGCTGGAACACGCTTGCGTATCCACGGCTTCTATAATCATTTTTCCAATGAAAGATGATGACTATGTGAGAGTGGCAGAGTAGACATCGCTTTGCACTACGTGGTTTCGTTGACAATTCGGCTAAGTAAGCGCATTCAAAGACCGACCAAATGATTTTTCAGATAAGACCAAGGTCTTTCATTGCTTGCCATTAGTAAAAGACATTTAGACATCCTGCCTAGCGTTGGAAGCCCCAGCTAGTTTTCACTTGATCCAATTCTTCTTCCACTTTGGGATGCCCCGATGATAATGACACCTTTAGCGCATGTGCTGCGTCTTCTTATGGCTGATGTCCACGCACACCGTATTACCATCTCTCAGCCCAGATTCTTCGCTGATCTGATTCCTCTAATAATAAAACAGCAGGATATAGAGCAGGAATAGTGTAAGCGATTGAAGAGAACCAATCTGCTTCTGTAAAATACAAAACGTGCTTAAAATTAGGCAAAACATGGTCCACAACTTAAACTGAGATGGCAACACGTTCATTGCAGCATGTTTAATGCAGAAATTTGTACCAAGTATTTTGATTGGCACCGCCACTGGCTACCTTTTCCCCTAGCGCCTACACTAGTTTAACTCAATATCTACAACAAGGCTATTTGATCCGCCTTGTTAGTGTAATGGCTACTTGCAGTACCTTGTCTTCATAGTAGACAACCAAAAACTAAATCTCCTTAGTAAACCGTACATGCAGTGTTAGACTGTTTTGGACAAATAAGAGAATAGTGAGATGCAAATGTCCGGATAGGAAAGCTCTCTTCTAGGCGAAGTCCCCAAATGGAAGAGTCGTGACTCTCCCATATAAGGCAGAACAATAGCATACAAGATAGATCACATGCATTAATTAAAGCCCCACCCTATTACACATGATGCCTTGAGGAATACCAAACAACCGCGTCTCCTTCACATATGGCCTGTGCCCTTAACGGACTAATAAATTAAACCTAACTACAATAGACAGAGTTACACTGATTGACTGTAAATTAAATACATCCATTGATGATGTCGGTAGGAAATCTTTCAGAGAGGCCAGGAATGGTTCAAAGCTAGCGAGGATTTCTTAATAGAATAAAACACTACTATTCCATCAAACTAGTTCAAATTATGGTGACAGCATCATCACCTAAATTCAGTTTCTTTTTCAAATCAACTAATTGCATCATGCACGAAATGAACATATGTGACTGATGTCAGAGCTGTAGCTGTTTTTTCACCAAGGCGTGCCGGTGGTATTCAACATAATTCACCTCTACTTCAGTTACCAATGTAGCAATAGCTTCCAGATTCGTACATCATCAGTGGCACCAACATTTACAAATACAAGTATTTATCAAACTTCTGACATTTATTCTTTAGCTGTCATCCTCTGAATATTATGCCAGAGAAATATACGGCAACAGCGAGGTGAAAATGGAATACCGACTCCACGCCATACGACAAAATTGTGGGTATGAAATCAACGGAGGACAAATAGAAGATGTTGATGAGGTTGTGTGCAATATACTAGACAAAGACGAGAGAAAATCAATGCCACTTGCCTCATAGGGAGCAGATTCGGCAATCGAAATGATGACACTACCAATCATTGAAATCATCTACTTCAATTGACCTTACAACCAAATTATTGAAGTCATCTATTCTGACTTACCTTCCAACCAAATTTAAATAGACAAGTGCCTTTAAGTTTTACATTACTACAGCAAAAAAATCTAATGAGAAGTAAATCACCAAGGCAAGTCGATTTATTTAGTCAGAGAATCCTGCTTAAATGAACGCACTGTACCGTAAAATGATGCGGATCCCTGACTAAATGCACAATCATTTTGTGTAAGCGCAATTTCGAAACTGTGAAAGCACAGAAAAGGTGTGGCTGAAGTCACACATTTCCCATGACAACTAGGACTGCTTGTTTTCTTCTTCAAGTCTGCATCTCCGCTGTGTCATAATACAACATTTGACCTATTACGATGGAGTAGGTCATGCTCATTAAACCTTGCACAAAATATGTAGCTATAGTTTTAGCTGGGAAGCTAGCAGACCGGTGCTACCAAATACAATGAAACCGCATAGATAAACAGTGAGGGCACGAGTTGTGCTACTTGGCTGGAGGAAGCAGCCAATGTGATTTAATAGCTTAAGTGCTTCAATTCACCTAACATAGGCTTGATTTATGTCTGCCTTTAACAACAAAGCTGTATAGAGAGTGCAGTTCGGATCACAACTATCCACTGTGGACACGGATGGTGAAGCAAATCATCAAGGAATGAAGACCCTCCAGGAATGAAGGATACATAAGTCTTAAATAGAATCAGCACTCGCACTATGCCGTCACTTCCTGTACCGAGGCAGCCATCTGACTGTACCAACAACAGAATAGGAAGCTGCAATTGGAGGTGTTTGCTGTGACTTCGAGATGAGGAAAGGGTGTAAACAAGTATTTTCTCTCAATGGTTCCGTGTAGACGTGGTGTAACGTAGGGGATTCAGACAGTGATTTGGAGTTCCCACCACATGGAAGACCAGAGTATTCGTCTAGCAAATGGTCAAGAGATCAGCAAGAAACACTTAAACAAGACGAAAGAGGAAGGAGACGATGAAAGGTGAGACAAACTTGCAGATTTTGGTTGATTGTGTGCCAACATGATTCACACTGTGAGGATCCACTGGTGTGCATTCACCTAGACAAATTAGGAAGAAAGAACAACTAAAGAAGATTCTAAGCCAGCAAGCAGGTGAAAGAGCTAGACACCAGTCTGATACATTTTCACGTTATCAACAGCTGCAAAATATGAGTAAATGAAGACTATAACGAGTGGTTCCTATAGTCAACAGAGCCGCTATTTGACTTCCACAGCTTTCCGCAGTTTCATAGGTTCGGTATATTGCACTCGTTTCGGTCTGCTGGTCACGAGGACCAGCACACCGCGCATTACTATAATTCTACCAGAGACTTAGCACTTTCAGTAAAAGGTTAAGATGGATTTAGAGGTTTGCCTTTACAAAAATTACAAAGAAAGGAGCGACGGCCAGCATTGACAAAGGGCTGACCCCGAGAGGTCAAAATAAAGTTAACCGATTACTTCCATTGCAAAGCCACAAACAAAACACTAGGACCCTTGACCGATCCCTCCTAATTTAAATGGAAAGGAGGTGACCTTCATAAACTCAGCAAAGGTTAAGTACTACTGCGTAGACACTGATAGCCAGCAATGGTGTTTTTCCAGGGAAAATAAACTAGGCAACAAATCATCAATGAATGACAATGTGTGAGAAAGAGGGAAAGGAAGAGAGACGGGTTTGGAGGCCTGCCTTCACATGGATATTCCATCTGCTGTCAATCAGGCTAAGCACAGACTAATTGAGCTTTCAACTTCACAGATATCAGGAGGAGATAATGGGCTATACCGAGGTCAGGAGGACAATACAAGAAGGACAACGAATAGAAAGAAGATCAAACCACTGTTTTGTGACTTTCTGACCTCCGCCTGACCCATCTCCGCTTTAATAAAGTTGAAAAAGGATCCAAGGGTAATAAATGCACTTTACCGGAGGCATGCTTTGATTTGGTCACTTCAAGAAGAGTTGACTACTGCTGCATCAATACTTCCATCTTTATTTCGTATGTCTACATTGATAAAGGAAGCACAAATGTTTCGTACATTAAGGAAACCAACTTTTTAGTGACTGTAACCCTCTGCACACAAAACGTTCACTGATAAGCCCATTGGGAAGACGCAGAAGATGCCCTAGCGACCCTTTCAGCTTTGTTGACAGGCTCAATGCGAATTCAGTGTTTTCAGTTAGCGAGATCTGCAAGTGGGGTACACCCATTGGTGCCTCCAATGAGTGTACCCAACCGAATCGAAATCGACTGGATGTGCCGTATTTCTACAGGTCATCTATGACATGTCGTCCCCCATCAGATTCAAACAAATTAACGCCTCCGAAATTCGAAGATGCTTAACCAATGAAGATGCCACGGACGCTCTCGTTTTAACCTTTACTCGCAAATGAATCAACCACACAAGCAATCTTAATTTGAGCTATCTCTAAACA